CCCCCCTCCTTCATCTTCGCCCCCCATCGTCCGCCGACTCCCCCGTCTTCCGCGCCATTCCCGCCCCCCCCCCACCTGCCCATTCCTGCGCGCGAGTGACGCGCAAGTGCGCGCGCGTGCCCTCCAGGGCGATCGCGCGCGAGGGAGGCGGTCGCGCGCGCGCCGGGCGCGGGGGGGTGGGGGCGCGTCGCGTGCAAGTCGTGCAAGTGGTTTGGGTTGCAAGCGGAGGCCGCCCGGAGCGCGCGCGGCGCGCTTGCGCGCCGCCCCTTGACCCCCCCGAGCCCGACCAGCCACCCCTTCCCGTGTTCCTGAGCTGTTTGTGTTCAAGCGAGGAGTCGTTGGCGGCCGCGGGAATGACCGCCCCCGCGGCTGCGATCGCGCGTCTCGTCCAGGCTCGGTTAGAGCGCACGTCGCGCATGGCCGAGTGGGGGCCGGCCCGCGGCGCCCGTCGCGCAGAAGGTCACTGGGGGCATCGCTGGCCAGCTTGGCGCGGCATCCTCGATCATCGAGGACGGCGCTCTGATCGCCCAGATCGTCAACGTGTGCCCCCATTTCTCGGATGACGAGAAGGCGAGGATCCGGGGCGTCGTCGATTCGAGGGCGAACGTGCTCGGCAGCGGCCGCGCCGCTCCCCAGTCGCCGAAGCCGGTCGCCGTTAGCCTCCGGCTCTACTCGAAAGAATCGGACTGGGCGGCCTTCGAATCTGTCGCCCCGCCCAAAGTGAAGATCTTCCATGCGGCTGCCGTCGCGGCCTGCCTGCGCCCTGCGAAGGGCGATGGGCCCGCCTGCTCCCGCGCGACGAGCCTCGCCCTATTCGAGCATGGGCCGCCGCGAGCGAAGGGGGCCTACGACTGCACCTCGGATCTCTTGGGCCACGTCCGCAAGGGGGCAAATCAGGCCGATGGGGGCCCGACCAACTAGCCGAGCTGCGCGCAGACGGTCAATGCTGGAAACCTTGCGCTGCACGGTTCGCGCTGCGCCGTCGAGCGCCCCGTCCATGCGATGCTCGACTAGGCGCAGGTTGCGAAGCTGACTGGCTCATGCAGAAGCGCTCCTCGAGGAGTCGTCGGCCCGCGCGCCTCGTCGGCGAAGAACCCGTGAGGGGCGCGTTCGGTTGCGAGCCGCCAGCGGGCGCTGCGCTCCACGCCCAGCTGCCTGCGCCCCCGTGGCCGTCGGACTTGCGGCGCCGCGGGCCCGCGCGGCCCGCGCCGGCGCAGCCTGCGGTGGCCCGGCAGTCAGTCGAGCCAGCCGCCGAACCTCCATGGCGCCATCTCGCGCCCGCTGGTTGGCCATGCCTCGCCTGGGCGCGCGGCGCAGCGTGCGCTCGTGGCGCCTGCGTCGGGGCGACCTGCTTCGGGGCCGCCAACTGCGGCGGCCCCGCCTGCTCCGGGGCCGCCTGTTTCGTGGCCGCCTGCTGCGGAGGCGCGCGCAGCGGTTGCCGCGGCGACGGCGGCGCCGAAGTCCAGCCTGAAGGGCCTGGCGGATGAGATCAGGAGCTCGCCGGCGAAGAGGCCCCCGGCCGCGACCCCCGTCGATGTCAGCGAGCCCAGCGAGGGCGGGTTCGACGGCGCGGGCGAGACCGATGACGGGATGCCCGCGCTCAAGCACGCCGAGACAGCGATGGGGGGGTCGGGCGCTGTCAAAGCGAAGACCAGGGCTAAGGCTGAGGCCAGAGCCTCTCCCAGGGCCGAGCGCGCAAGTCCGAGCCGGTCCAGGTCCTCGCCCGCGTCCGCGGGGAAGGGCGCCATCGTGGGAGAATTGCAGTTCTCGGCGAAGCTGTCGAGCCTTTCTCGCCGCATCCACGCGATGCAGCGAGCGCGCGCCTGGGGGGCGAGGCCGCGGCCTGGCCGTCGCGACGATTGGGCCTCCCACTGGGGCGCGGGGCGCGGGCGGGCGGGGGAGAGGAGGATGGGGGGGGGAGGGGGGGGGGCGGAGGAGGGGGGGGAGGAGGATGGGGGGGGGAAGGAGGGGGGGGGCCGGGACGATGGGCGATTCAAGATGCATCATTGATGCTGCAATGCGCCCGCCCGTCCCACTGACGGCCTGCATCGCGCCGTCCAGCCCTGCAACGACGCTGCAAAGCGCACCGCGTCTCATGGCGATGTTGCAATGCGCCCCCTCGCCCCATGGCGACGCTGCACTGCGCCGTCCCGCCCTCTAAACACGCTGCAATGCACCCTCGAATCTTGCGACGGTGCCGCGGTGCGCCCTTCCGCCCTCTAATGGCGTTGCAATGCGCCGCGCCGTGCGATGCTGCAGTGCCCCTTTCGCGGCGCTGCGTCGCGCCGATGCTCGGGCCTCGCGACCCCCCCCCCAGCCCCGGGCCCCCGCCGCAGCTGCGTTGGCCCGACCGATGGCGCGAGACGTCTTAGACCGCCGATGCCTCAGAGACTTGTCTAGCGCACTTCTGGATGCGAATGTGGCCTCGCGCGGCGTCCTGGGCGCTTCCAGTTGCGCGGGGGCTGCCCGCGGGATTCGGGCCTTTTTCAGCGGGCCACTTGCAGGCGCTGCGATCGCAGGAGTCGAATTCGCCCTGGGGCGCGGGGGCGCGCCGGGATCAACTGCATATCGCCGCGGGTATGGATGTGCCACGCTGCAGAGACCTTTCCTGGGTTTAACTCATTGTTGCCAGATTGTAAAGCTTGTTCGGATGATGGGCATCCTCATATTTATCGCCTTTTACTATGGCAAGGCCACCCCTGGGAACGACGGGCGACCAGGCGCGGGGAGGAGTGCTGGTTGTGCGTGCTGGTCAATACCTGAGGATCCCTCGCGGTGCCCTTCTCGGTCAGAAGGGTGGATCGCCCTCGCGCGCGCGAGAATATGAAGGAAGCTGGGCTCGCAGAGTGCACGTTGAAGAAGTTGATGGTGTCAGAGTTCTTTGGCGTGAGAAGCTGGCTTCAGATGCAGCTGGCATCGGGATGATGCTTGATGGGGCCCGGCTGCTTCTTAAAGTGCGCGTCGCCGTGTTCCTGGCAGACTTCGGGGCCGCGTGCGCGCTTTCAGTTTCCTTGGCGCCCCTGGTAGCGCGCCTTGCCGGGAATGTCGGAATGTCGCCGGCAGGTGCGAGCAGTTTGACGACGGCCTCGACGCCCCTCGTGCATGGTGCCCTTTTTTGAGGGGATGCAGCCGCGAGCGGACGCTGAGCTGAAGGATATCGCGGATCGCTTGTCTGGCCTCGCTGCAGCGCGGTCGAGCGCGGGGCGCAAGCGCAACCGGCGGTACCTCGGCGCTGCGCATGGCCCCGACGCATTGCTGTGCGATAGAGAAGTGTTCGAGATCACGCAGCCTCCGTCTTTCTACGTGGACTGGATGCACTGCGTCGCAGCATCAGAGGGTTTCGGCCAGTTCGTGCTCGACCGCGCGCTCGAGGCGCTGCTTGATGCTAGCGATGATTTCGCGTTGAAGGCCCCGGGCGAAGGGGCGAAGAATGCGAAACCCTGTCGGTCGCGCCAGCAGCTGCCCAAGAAGGTCTTCAGCGAACGATGCGTCAATGGAGTGATATGGCACATCGGGGCACTCGCATCGCATGTCCTTTCGGCAACGGCGGTGCTGGCATTGTTCATGGAATCTATGGTCGAGGGCGGCGGCGCAGATTTGGGCGAGCGCCTGCTGCTCGCCATCGCGAACATGCAGCGTGAGATCATCGATGCGTTGGAGCGGGGCGGCCCTGCGGATGCGAGGCAGACTATTGAGGTCCATTGCGTGTTCCCGGAGTGTACGTCACCTAAGTTGCATATCGCGCTGCGCGCGTTGCTTTCATGGGAGGGGTCTGGAATGGTCTTGTCTTGCATCGCAGCGGAGCGGAGGCGCACCGCCCTCGATCGTGCCATGTCTTTTTCGCACAAGTCTGCATGTCCGACGGCCCTGGCAGTGGAGCTCCGCCGACTGGCGAATAGCTCCGCCCAGGGCGACCCCTGCAAGCCCGGCGATGGCCTGGCCGCCTGCCCCTCCGAAGTGTCATCAAATAATAATGTGAACATTATGATGGGACAAGTATAGAAGCCGCCCAAAACATGTTTATGCACATATAAATGGTTTAACGTGCGACCCTGCGTAAATCGCCATGACCGTGATTCAATTCACCTAAAGCGCAAAATCTACCACGCAGTCCAGGGATGGGCGACCCGCGCGATTGATTGCCGCGGTGCCCCCGTGGCGCGCGCGCTGCCGATCGGGGCCCAGAATGCCCCGCTCCGTTCGCAGTGGCCACCGATGCCCCCATAACTTCTCGACCAGCGCCGGAGCTCGACTGGCCGCCATGTGAGGAGGCTTTTCCACCGCGCGGGCCGACCCCCTGCCGGCAGTGCGTCAGGGTGGGATCGGGTACGAGCCAACAGCGAGCGCAGGGGGGCAAACCAGCGAGCAATGGGGTCAGGGGGCGGCGCGCGCTGATGGCAGCGGGCAGCGAGACCGCCCGCCGGTCGATCAGGGCGACGAGCAGACGCGACAGAGGGCCCGACGCGCATGGCCGTCCACGTGGGAACTGGCACCAGAGGAGAAACCCCGCCGAAACTTGCTGCGTTCACTAGATATCTCCAGCGAAACATCAGCGCGGAGCGGGGCGCGCCCGATTGGAGACCTACGCGGGACCGGCGGACAGGCCCGCCACCGATCGGACCGATGTGCTGCGGCGGTCAAGGGCGTGTTTGATTCAGCTCTGCGCGGCTGCGGGCTTTCCTCGTTGCCCATCATCTGCATGCGGAATATTTTGAGTTTAGCGCTCATTCCGCGATTCGGGCGGCCTTTCCCTGGCGGCGGGGGGGTCGCGAAAGGGGTCGGGCCACGTGTCGCCCTGGCCGATTCAATGCTGAGCGCGAGCGTCGCCGGTAGCCATGTTGGTTCAAGCGCAGCGAGGCTCGGAGCTTGCGCCCTTTGCGATGGCTCTCCCTATCTTCAAAGCCTCGGAGGCATCGGGTAGCTATCGATGTCTTCTGTGACCGCGCGTGTTCTGTGGCTCCGAGACTATTACTATCAGAGGCCCTGCGGGAGCAATCTTAGGAGACTGCCAACCATGCGCTGCCCATCTTTCCAGGGAGATGCGCATCTGTTACGCTGTGGATCTCATCCCGTCGGAACAGTAGCTGCCAAGGCAGAGGTCGCCAGTTTGTGGGACTTGCTTTGGTAGTGTGGCACGTGCGTTGCATGCGGGGGTGTTCGTCGGGCCTGCTCCCCCATTCGCGCCAATTCTTCCCGCGGCGTTCGCAGCGTGCTGTTGCGAAGGAGGTAGCGCACACCGGGTGATATCAGCTCCTTCACGATGTTGTTCGACAGACTTTGGTGAGGCCATGCGTGGATTGATTGGCCTGGCCACGACGGCAGGGTGCAATGGCTGCCAGGCAATCGGGAGGGTGTCTGGTGAAGTATGGTTTCCTGGGTGACGCGCGCCATTGTGCGTCATGTGCAGCGCGAAGTATGGCGAATGCCATGTCAGCCGTTGCCCACTTCACTTTCGCCCCTGTTTCCCGCCCGTATTTCGGCCGGTCAGTATCTCCCAGGGGGGGGCGATGTCGACGGGGCGCTGGAGGGCGACGTCGCGCTGCGAGCGGAGGCGCTGGCTGGTCAGAGGCTGGGCCGTGCCCCCACCCATTAGTTGCAACGTTAGTAATTTGAGGGCTACCCGTGCCCGTGTTTGGCGCGATGCTGCTGCTGGGAGTGCCCCCCTCGCTCTGTCTTGTTTTCTCACCCCTTCTACTCTCCTCCCTGCGCGCCATTGTATTTCCTAGCTAGAGCCTTTTGCGACGTTGCGACATCCTCGCTCGCCGTTCCCTGCCCTGTCCTTCACCTCGCGCGGCGACCGCAGGTGTTGTGGGTTTTGTCTTCGCGCCCCACAGTTACCTCGTGGCCTGTCCCGCGGCATTGTCGGCGGGCCTTTTGGTCTCCCTGTTCACCTGTCCCCAGGGGCTGTCTTCTTGGTGTTCGGTCGTTTCTTGCGTTCCAGGTTTTTTTCTTATCGCCGGCTTCGTGCGTTCCACTCATGTGTTGTAGTGTCTTTCTTCCGTTGGTCTTCTGGACCTGGCGTCGGCCCGGCCCCGCCTCGCTGCCTGCGCCCCGTCGCGGGTTGTGGGCTGCTTTGGCCACGGCCCGTTTCTTTTTGCTGGAGCTGCTCGCGCCAACTTCTTGCGGCGCCATGCTGCCCTTCTTTTGGCCAACGTCTATACTGCTCAGGCCTTGCGGCAGGCGCCGCCGACCCTGGAGGCCTCGGCCCTCGACGGAACTGGGAGGGGGAGGGCGCCCCCGACGCGTCCCGGGAAGGCGGTATTCGGATCTGGGACCACCCCCCGGGCCCCCCCCTGGGATTCCCCCCGACCCGCCCCCCCAGGCCCCCCCCCTCCGCGGGGAAAGGGTCAAATGGAAAGGGTTTCCCTTCGACTCAATGACAACGTTGCTGAATTTCGCTGTGGGTGGGCCAGTGTGTTTCGCTGCGGCCGGCGCGCTCGAGGTCGAGGGCCCAAGTGAAAGAAGTGGGCGATGACGGATTCAGGTGAAAGGGGGGGACGTGATGGCGGCGGGGACGCGACGGCGGCAGCGACGGCGATGGCGACGCAACAACCCCTGTCACACGCCGACAAGGTCGGCGGATTTCTTCGCCGCCTTATGTGGGAAGACTGGGGCGTCGCACTTGGGCGTGGGCGTCCACGCCTAGGGCTGCAATTTGCTGCGCCTGCTTGCCTTTCAGCCGTATGTCAGCGTGCTTTTTTCTGGCGGCGTTCTCCGCGGTGGTTCGTCGGTCCCTTCCTCCCTTTGGGTCGTGGGGGTCGCTCGCGTCGCCGTCGTCGGTCTGTTGCGTGTCGGCCGTGTCGCGGGGTCTTCCGCCGTCGTCTCTCCAGGCTCCTCTCCTGATTTTTGCCGTCGCTGCTTTCCCATCCTCTCCCGTTTCTTCTTCTGGGTCGCCCCCGCCGCGGGGGTCTGTTTCAGTCTGAGCGTTGGCGTATCCCGTTGGCGAGTTCGCATGGCTCGTCATCATTCTTTTTCGTTGCCTGTTGGTCTTCGCGGTGCGACCTTTGCGGCGACGCGTGCGGTCTCTCTTGTGCTAGTTGGTCCCCCATCTGTTGCTTCTGATTTCACCTGCCTCATTGTAGCTCTTCGCGGCTTTGGTTGCGTTTGGGGTTGTTGTTGCTCTAACTCTGGCGTCTGAATTGCGCATTGGCAATCTCGCGCCTGTCCACCACCCATGCACGCCGCAAAGTAGCGGTCTCCCGCGTTCAGATTTTGTTGTCCAAGGCTATGCCGTCTTTGCCGCGCGATCATCTTTGTCGCGCAGATCTCTTGCATTTGTGGCACGGTCGCCTGAAGTTGGTCCTTGCCCTCTGCAAGGTCGGTGGCGTTGCTTTGTCGCGCAGTTTCCCTGCGCGTATGCGCCGCCGCCAAATTGGCCGGTTTGGCAGCCTTGCAGTCCTTTTTGGGTGCCTCCGGCTTTAATTCGCACCGGACGGTTGTTTGCGCTTCGAACTTCCCGCGTCGAGCTTCCGTTCCGCGGGTGTTTGGGCCGATTTTGGCTTTGCGGGGTCTCCCGTTTTCCCACCGCCAAGTTGCATGACCTTGATTGGTTTATTCATCATGGCGCGTTCGACTAAGTTCGTTCGCTATTGGCACCTCCGCCTGCCGACCTCGCCTGATGCTCCTCTGCGCCGCCGACTTACACATCGTGTTGATGTGTGCCTGTTCGGCGCCGCCGCCGCCGCGCTCCGCCGACGGCGCTCCTATGCTGCGGCCGATGCCCGCTCTGCCCCGGCACTGCCCCGTGTGGGTCTGACGGACTCGCTTCCTTACCCAGTTGGTCACCACCCACAATACCACCCAAACCCATTCCGAATGCTCCAATGTGCCATCCATTCCCAAAGGGGGGCGTCGGGGAGCGTTGCAAAAACACAATGTGGAAACCATGCCCCTCAACCAGAAATTCGGGGTTCCGGGTTAGGCTGGGGCGGTCTGGTAGGTTGTCATTACCCAGATGGCGCGCGCGCCCCAGCGGTCTTTTCCGGATGGCTTGTGACTTGGCCCGGCCCGCGACGTTCAAACAGTGCGTGTGTGTGTGTGTGTGTGTGTGCGGTTGCACATGATGGCCAAGGCCATGCGATTTACTTGATTGCACGGCCCCGTCTTGTTCCTTCACCATGTTCCTTGCCCCCCTCTTTTCCGCTCACATGCGCCTCAGGCCATGGATGTGCCCGCCCCCTTCTTCCTGGCCTTCCCTCTTCGACGTAGCCGATCTGTCCAGGCGCTCGTGTCACACACATCCCCGCCTTTCAGTTACCTCGACGTAGCTGAGCGAGCGTCGTCGCGTCTTGCCGCATCGATCTGGCAGTGCAGTCCTCAGAGCGCATGGCCAAGGTTGTGCTCGAATTCTCGTCGCTCCAGCGCAGGTTCAGCGGAGCGCAAACTGCGAAGAGAAGGCTGACCGCTGGAGAAGCCCACGCGGCCCACCGCCGTCGCGTTTCCCACCCCCTTTCTCCCTCCCTCCCTCGACAATCTTCAATCCGTCTCGCTTCTGCAAGCTGCTTCTGGCTGCTAGAAGGCATGCCCAAGCTGGAACTGCCAGCGAACCCTCGGGTCGAGGGGCCCCAGTGCGCTACCGCCGCCACCCGCTCCCCAGACACTTGTCCTGGGAGGGAGGGTGAGCAGGAGGCGGGCGATGGTGAGATCGGTTCAGGCCGGCCGCCCACGGAGGAAGGGGCTGGCCCTTGCTGCCGGGCGAGCGTCGGGCCCACTTTGGGCCCAACGGTCGAACGAGTGCCATTCCAGAGCGTTCCAGAACGCTCTGAGAAGGCCGCGGCGCCCGATACATCTTCCAGAGCCGCCGGATCTCAGCGATTCTCGATTTATCCTTGCCCGCTTTTATCCTCGTCCTGGCGTCGTGTTAAGGGGGAGGGGGTGCGCCGACAAGGAGGCGGCAGGAAGGCCTCCGAGCGGCCGGGGCTCTCCTCGGGGCGTGCAGATGTCCAGATGTCAGAGGTCCGCATGGCGGAGTCCACCGCCACTGGAGCGACGCAGGAAAACGGGGTCGTCCTTGCTGACATGTGCGCGTAAGCCAGGGAGCGGAAGGTCAGGGGCAACCTTGGGTTGTGGGGACAGGCTGAGGGGGGGTGCGGGGGTGCATCGATCCCCAGTCGCCCATTGCTCGGCGATAGGATCCCGATGGCCCACCCAGCCTGGGAACGCGCTGTTTCGATATCGGGGGCCTATCGCCGATACATCGGCGATGTATCGCCGATTCCAGGTCGATGGTCGCCCCCCCTCCCCGAGCCAGTCAGTCCTTCTTTATCGTTGCGCCTGATTTGTGGTCTATATCAGTGCAGGCCTCCCAAGCGGGGTCCGAGCAGGTGGGGTCAGAGGGTCGCGCCGCATCGCCGATGCATCGGCGATGCAGCTCGATATGGAGCCCGACCTTCTTCACGCCGACGGCGCCGATTCATCGGCGATGCGTCGACAATGCGGCGCGATCCTCCGTCCCTATCCATCCTCAGACACTATCCGAGCGACGAAGGAACACAGAGTCGCCCTCGCCGACATGCGCGTAAGCTGCCCGCGTAAGGTCGCGCGTGAGAGCCCTCGTTTCCGACGTAGCGTGCCGCCCTGGCGGCCCGCGTAAGCCACCGCGCAATGTCGCTGTGCCATGTCGCGCAAGGCAAACTTCTTCTCGCCGCTCGCCTGGCCCCAGCCCGAGGCCTCGCAGCCGGCGCGCCGCCCCCGGCACTCCACCCTTCGGCGTGCGGGTGGGGTGGGGTAGGCGGGGCCGGGGGCCCCGACCCCAGAGATCCCACCGAGGGCCCTCGAGCCCGCCAGGCTGGTCGAGTGGGCTGGCTGGGAGATGTTCGGCGCCAGCCTCGAGGCCATAGTCAAGGGCACCCAGGAGCCCGGGCACTCGCTCCGCTGCATCTGCTCCAGGGTATTCTGGGCGCGGGCGCGCGGGTTGAGCCACCGCCAAGGTCTTCCTTCCTCCCCTCCTCGCTCCCCTCCTCCCTTCCCTACTCGGTTTCTCCTCCCTCCCCCTGGCTTCTCATACCCCTATTCCCCCGCTCTCTCTGGCGGGGCAGGGGGGACCACACCACCAGGAGGACCCCCCTGGCTCTTCGCGCTGGTGGTGGTGGTGGTTTTCCCTATTCCCATCTCCCCGTTGCCCTTTCCCTCTGGTGGCGAAAGCGGTCTTCGCGCCACCCAGCCCGCTCCTCCCTCTGCGCGAGAACTGCATGACGCCATTTCCGACGTTCCACGACCCCCACGAAGATGACGCACTAACCGATTAAGTTCAGGTTGCTATGGAGGACCTCCCCAGAGCACGCACTATTTTGTATATAGCTGTGGCTGGCAACCCTGACGACGTTACACATATGGCGTCAGCAATCGGCTGCACTGCCTGTCCGAGCTTGGCAAATTTGTGCTCCAGCTGCTATCGCGATGGCTCGGCCACGAAGCTTCTACTTGAGACTAAACGGCAACTGACAGCAAACAACACAAGCACGGATATATTGGCATGTGTTGCCAAGTTGTGCGAGCGAACCACTCGCATACAAGGGAGCCTCTGTATCACAATCAATATTTACATTGCTAAGCGCACCTGTCTTGGAACATGCCGTGGGGTGGGCACTTGAAGCCCAGATCCTACAACTTGTTTCAGGAACCTTGTCCTTACGAGGTAATGCGGGTCGCGCCTCCTCCTGCTAACGTGCTAAGCTGCAAAGAGTTGCCGGGTCTTGTGCCCAGCACGCAGCAGTTCGTGTGCACATTTTCGGTTATAGCTCGCTTCACCTGGTTGCTGCACAAATCCAGCTGAGTCCACCTCGCACGTCGACTGAAGAAGTTCTGCCTCAACCGTGGAATGACGGCGTCGGGGTCTCCAATGTGCGGTCGGAATCGAAATTTGTTGAACGCTTTCGCACCCCCAGTGGCGAAACACAAGCAATTGGGGTTGCACAGATCACAAGACATATTTTCGCCAGAGTCACATATTATCATGCCGAGGAACTTGTTTTTCATTTGTCCAGCGTGCTTAATTTCGTTGTCATCCCCGTACACGCCAGTAGCGATTTTGTCTGCGCAGGTGGGACACCATCTGGGAATGAACAAGAGCGTCGTCTTCATATCTGCTACACCATATGTATGGAGATATGTTTTCGCTGCGTTTTTCAATACTCCAACCCTCGCTATCGAAAGCGTGTTCCTGTGCACATAACAGTAGCTTCACCAGAGCCCTTGGCAATGCACCACCAATTATTAAGCCTTCGACCTGCTCGATGACACGCCCTGCAAGTCGGAATAGGCGCATTTTCAAATATGATTGTATGCAGTTTTTGAGGCTCTGTGAACTGTGCACAACCCTGTCTCCTATGTGCTTCTGATGCGTTGTCGATGGCCTTGCTGTCGACGATTTGCCTCTGTAAACATGTTTTCCAGATATTCTGCGTCTTTGTGTAGCGGCCAACAAGGAATCAAGATCTCTCATGTCATATGCCTGCTTGACTACATCATACGCTTGTCCAGCACCGTGGGTGCGTAACGCAGGTCACGAAATCACGGCATTGCATGTACAACAAGTACATGTGGACGAATGCATTAATAGTCGACAAGACATCGTTCGATATCATGTTTTGCAGTAGCCAGGCTGCGAATATTCCACCCAGGGCAGATCTCGTCGATGCTTACTCAGCGCTCGGGCTACGCTGCGGAGAACAACCTTGCCAGGAACACAACTATTAGAAACGATGTTTCGAAAACAGCTGTTTTCAATCTTTGTGCAGGACTTTGTTGGCTGCACTGGGTCACAATCGCCGAAGAAGGTCTCGAAGCGAGCATCATTACCATAAGATTTTCGCTTCACCGTTCAACGCATATATTTTATGATATCGTGGGAGATGGCCGTGAGGTCACCGAGCTGCTCTCCAGGCAAGCATTGTCACAAGGTTCATGACAATGCCCCACGACTGCTTTCATCGTCATGTCTGAAAACATCCACTTGCCAGTTGCTTTGCCGAGTTGCTGAAGTTATCTATTCCACAATGCCGGATTCACTTGGAGCCAGAGACAAACAAGTGTTTGCTGTCACATGTGACAGGAATCTCGTCTGTCGTTTCAGATCGGTTGGCAATCAAGCGTATGAACTCGTCACAGGAGTCCCAGAGTTGAAAATTGTTGCCTCGCCTGTTCATTGGATCTGTCAAGTGAATATTTTGGGGATCAGCATACTCATCGAGCACTGGGACAACCAATCCCAGATACCACCTGCTTGCAACATGACAGTTGTGAGGAAGTGCATGCGCGAGAAGGCTGCAATACTGCAAAATTCATGCACACAGGTATCCGCAGCATGTCCAAAACAACCCCTGCTAACTCCCAGATGGCAGGCGCAGCAAGTGCCCGACGATCCGCGCTCGAGCTCCTGCACTGAACCCTCCCTAGTATGTTCATGGCGTTTTGTTTCCAAGTAGGCCAGCATGGCGTTACTTGAAATGTCTGGCGTTTGACGTATTCATATGTGTGTGGCCTATTTGGCAGCAAGCATTTCAGTGCATGGTTCGTCCAGCGTTTCACGTGGCAGCGCCATTTGGCAGACGCGGTTTTGATACTGAATGAAGTTGGCATGTTGAGACCAAGCCCTCTTTCAAACCAGAGTACTGATATCTGCACCTCGGTCCTGCCAGTGTAGTAATGGATGGACAGGCACATGTTCAAGAGCCTGAATGTGTAATCTAACGGTCGAGCGTTCCTGCGCAGAACACAATCCCAGTGCACGTTACCAGGATACAACATCGCATAATGAGATAGATACCCCGCCCCCTCTGGAAGAAAAAAACACACCACCGCCCCAGGGGTGTCGCCTCCAGCGACGAGGTCCACGATGTCTCCCCGAGCTGGGAATAGGGGATGTCTCGAGCGGGGAGAGGGGGGGGGGACTACACTACCAGGGGGACCCCCCCTGGCTCCCTGCGCTGATGGTGGTGTTGGTGAGCCGCTGCAGACGGCCTTGCCACGGCCCGCGGCCACGGCTCGAGCTGAGAATTCCTTGAGAGCAGAGGGACAGGGCGCCTCGGTATCGGGCGAGTGGTTAGGGAGGCCGATCTGGTGGGTCGAGCGTGAATTTTCGGCCAGAGTCTCGATTATTCTTAATGTTTCAATGTAAATCCTAAGATTTGAATTGAAATTTTAGGTTTTTATTCAAGTTCTGAGACTATGTATTTCTGAACCCATGATTTCTTAAGCATTTGGCGGGGTGTACCTAGTCTCGCCAGTCTGTGTAAGACCGTCCCTTGTGCGCTGCTCCTGCCGCCCCCTGATGGCGCCTGCTCGTCTTTCGTTCTTCGGCATGCTGTCTGGCACTCCGAGCCCGTACCGTCAGCACGCACACCATGCAGCGGCTGCAGCGGTGCGCACACAGGGCAGCAACACGACCCGCGCCAGAGGGGCCAGGGGACCCCGGGAGCGGCGTTGGGCCGACAGCTTCAGGTAGTGCAACAGCACCACAACTTGGAGCGAGGGATGGGACGAGGAACGCAGTCACGGAGACCTCGAGGCTCCTGTGCGACAAGGGAGAGGGAAAGCATGGATTCTTAGAAATTCTCCGCCGAGCAGGACGGACACATGTACTGCTGTAGCTTCTTTTTGAGCGTTTTCTCCCCCGGACGGCGCTGTGGCTCGCGACGTTCCCTCCTGCCGAGCCGATCCGACCCGCGACCCTCACCAGGACCCCGCCTTCGAGCCCCGCTCCATCCAGGCCGCCGTCGCCTCGTGCGCGCACGGGGCCGTGCGCTCCGGCATCGTGCGCCAGGCCCCGCCCCGTCCCGCCGCGGGGGAGCGCAGGGCGGGGCCTCCCGCCAGCGAGGCGGGGATCGGGGAAGAGAGAATCACATAAATAGAGAACTTCGGAGGTCGGGCGCGGATTCCCCGGATCTGCGCTGGAGCCCCATGGCGGCGCCTTCAGCGCCGCCCTTGGCGCGCTCTGCGCTCCAGTGAGGGGGGCCCAGCGCCGATCCAAGAAATCAGCACGAACCTCCGACAGTTGATTCACCAAACAGTGCTTGCACTTGGGGTTTTATCTTCATCTTTTCTCAGGAGCTGGACCTGTGTGGCGGTCTGGGGGCTATGCTATCGCCGTCGCCGCCCCGTCGCCGCCTCGTCGCCGCCCGTCGTCTGGATCTGTGTGCCGGTGTGGCGGCTATGTTGTCGCCGTCGCCGCCCCGTCGCCGCCCGTCGCCTTGGCCTATGTGGTTTGGCGGCTATGTTGCCAGCGTCGCCGCCCCGTCGCCACCTCGTCGTTGCCAACTTGTGTGCGCCACATTGAATGCACACCATCTGTTGCACATCCTGTATTCTCTTCCTCAAAAAAAGGAATTGGTATCTCCCCCTGGATTGTCGATACACTCTGGAGATGTGCAGTTTACATACGATTCTGCCCCGTCGTTCGTTCTGAACATAAATCCTGTCAGCCCACCTAGGCAAGCCCCCGCCATTTATGCGCGCACATTCGGCTGTCAGAAACCATCCGCTTGCATCATGGATTTGTTTGCGAAATACGGGACGGAATGCAGACGCGCGCGTCGTCGCGCGCATTCCGATTTGTTTCCATAACCTTAGGTTTCGTATGGATGTCAACATCGAGGGTATGGAAACCATTTAAACATGGTCCCCAAACATGGCTTTCAGCTTTCACTTCAAGTCTGCGCGTGCACGAATTCAGCAGACACCGCAGGTGGATCATCATGTCCATCAACTGCGACCAAACAGGCTCTCGCGCGCGCATGTCGAACGCATTCGAACGCCTTTGCGCGCGTGCTGGGGGGAGACGATCCTGGTCAAATAATACCATGCGGGCCGCTCGCGTGCGTCGGCCGCGTTCGCATGTCGAAATCCGTCCAGTTTGCAGACACGTTGACGCCATTATCGTCCTCGGTGTGATCAGCATCGGCTCCGTCATTGGCCTTGCCGTCGTCATGGTCACGTCACCAGCACTGCTACTATCACCATCATGCCTGCCGTTGTCGACGTCGCGGCCCGCGAGACGCGATGAGAACTCCGCACGGGTCAGCGCCACCGCGGCCGCGTCTGTCGCGCCAGACAAGCTGGCCGCTTTGTTCGCGAGCCTGCGCGCCTTAGCGTGGCTGCACGGATGTTCCAGCCAACGCCAAGCAATCACCGCAATCGCCGCCGCATTGGATTTGAAGATCAGAATGCGGGTGGGTGGGTGGGATGATTGCGCGAGCAGTGGAGTTGACAAGGTCGAGTTCGACAAGGTGAATCGCACCACATATATTGCACCATGTACAATGTCCCAAACAGTTTTTGCAACATATATTGAACGGCGTAGATTGCACCACGTTGATTGCACCACGTATTTTGTACCAGGCAGATTCTCCTGTTCAAAAAAAGAAGAATAGACTCTACCCCCCTGGCGTTATCCGCCCCCCATTCGGGTATGTAAATCAATCATGATTATGACCACATGTCCATCCTAAATATGAGTTTACACTATCCCAGGGGGGCCGGGATCGTTACCCCTGAGGTTCCCTGGTAAAAAAACCTTGTGACGTACCCAACCCATTTGTACCATGGGAAACGAGGAGTTGGCCGAAACTTGTATGGATAATCAAATTGCAGGATCCGTTGTTTGATATGTAAGCTACTTGGGACACGCGCCTATGGCATGGTGCGCAGGAGAAACATACAAGAACGAGGGGCGACAACTACAGGCTCGAAGAGGACATGGGGAGTCGGGAACGAAGAGCAATAGAAACACGTGCGGGAAGTCCACTGTGCTGTGCCCCTCAGCAGCCCTCGAAAGTGGCGACCGTTTCACATATCGCAGCCCCCCAGGGATGGCGAGGTCTAATTTGAGTCTGCGGTGAGTGCCCATTGTGCTGTGCCCCTCAGCAGGCCTCGAGAGTGGCGACAGCTTCACAGATCGCAGCCCCCCAGGGGCGGCGAGGTCCCGCTCATGTCCGCGCGGTGCCTCGCTCTGCAGGACCCCTCAGCAGGCCTCGAAAGTGACGACAGTTTCACAGATCGCAGCCCCCCAAGGACGGCAAGGTCTAATCTGGGTCTGCGGTGAGTACCCACTGTGCTGTGCCCCTCAGCAGCCCTCGAAAGTGACGACAGTTTCACAGATCGCAGCTCCCCAAGGATGGCGAGGTCTAATCTGGGTCTGCGGTGAGTACCGACTGTGCTGTGCCCCTCAGCAGCCGTCGAAAATGGCGACAGTTTCACAGATCGCAGCCCCCCAGGGCTGGCAAGGTCTAGTCTAAGTCTGCGGTGAGTGCCCACTGTGCTGTGCCCCTCAGCAGCCCTCGAAAGTGGCGACAGTTTCACGGATCGCAGCCCCCCAGGGATGGCGAGGTTTAATTCGAGTCTGCGGTGAGTACCCACTGTGCTGGGCCCGATCAGCAGCCCTCGAAAATGGCGACAGTTTCACAGATCACAGCCCCCAAAGGATGGCGAGGTAGCATTTGAGTTTGCGGTGAGTACCCACTGTGCTGTGCCCCTCAGCAGCCCTCGAAAGCGGCGACAGTTTCGCAGATCGCAGCCCCCCAGGGACGGCGAGGTCCCGCTCATGTCCGCGCGGTGCTTCGCTATGCAGGACCCCTCAGCAGCCCTCGAAAGCGGCGACAGTTTCGCAGTTCGCAGCCCCCCAGGGACGGCGAGGTCCCGCTCAGGTCCGCGCGGTGCTCCGCTCTGCAGGACCCACTAGCAGCCCTCGAAAGTGGCGACAGTTTCGCATATCGCTGCCCCCCAGGGGCGGCGAGGTCCCGCTCAGGTCCGCGCGGTGCCTCGCCCCGCAGGACCCGCCAACAGCCTTCGAAAGTGGCGACAGTTTCGCATATCGCAGCCCCCCAGGGACGGCGAGGTCCCGCTCAGGTCCGCGCGGCGCCTCACTCCGCAGGGCCCACCAGCAGCTCCCGAATGTGGCGACAGTTTCGCGGATCTCAGCCCCCCAGGGACGGGGAGGTCCCGTTTGGGTCCGCGGTGGGTGCCTTCTCTGCTGGCCTCCCCAGCAGCCCTCGAAAGTGGCGACAGTTTCACAGATCGCAGCCCCCCAGGGACGGCGAGGTCCCGTTTGGATCAGCGGTGGGTGCCCTTTCTGCTGGCCTCCCCAGCAACCTTCAAAGTGGCGACAGCTCCGCAGATCGCAGCCCCCCAGGGACGGCGAGGTCCCGTTTGGATCCGCGGTGGGTGCCCTCTAGTCTGCTGGCCTCCCCGGCAACCCTCGGAAGTGACGGCAGCTTAGCAGATCGCAGCCCCCCAGGGACGGCGAGGTCAAAGGCAGGGGGGGGAGAGAGGGACGGGAAGGAAGGAAGGAAGGTTCGCGCGAGCAGTGCTCTATTCAAAACGAGAACCCAACGCAGGAGGGTTGGGAAACAATTTCCCTGTGACGTACCCAACCCATGTGTATCAATGGAAACGAAGAGTTGGCCGAAACTTGTATGGACTATCGACTTGATGTGTAAGCTATTTGGGAGGCGTCACTGTGCTGGGCCCCGCAACCGGGCCTCGAAAGTGGCGACAGTTTCGTAGATCGCAGCCCCCCAGGGATGGCGAGGTCTAGTTTGAATCTGCGTGTGGCGTCACTGTGCTGGGCCCCCCAGCAGGCCTCGAAAGTGGCGACAGTTCCACAGATCGCAGCCCCCCAGGGATGGCGACGTCTAGTTTGAATCTGCGTGTGGGTACCCACTGTGCTGGGCCCCTTCAGCAGCCTTCGAAAGTGGCGACAGCTCCACAGATCGCAGCCCCCCAGGGATGGCGAGGTCCCATTTGAGTTTGCGGTGAGTACCCACTGCGCTGGGCCTTTCAGCAGGCCTCGGAAATTGCGACAGTTTCACAGATCGCAGCCCCCCAGGGATGGCGAGGTCGAATCGGAGTCTGCGGTGGGTACCCACTGTGCTGGGCCGCCCCCCAGCATGCCTCGAAAGTGGCGACAGTTTACAGATCGCAGCCCCCCAGGGATGGCGAGGTCGAATCTGAGTCTGCTTTGAGTACCCACTGTGCTGGGCCCCTCAGCAGCCCTCGAAAGTGGCGACAGTTTCGCAGATCGCTGCCCCCCAGGGATGGCGAGGTCTAATTTGAGTCTGCAGTGAGTGGCGCGGCCAGCGTGGGCCAGGCCGTTGGCGCTCCTGTGGCGGCCGCCGCCGCCGTCTCGCCCGCCGCCGCGGCCGCGGCGGCCGCCGGCTCGGCAACCGGCGCCTCTGGCGCGGCGACCGCGGCTGCTGCCCTCTCCGCGGCAGCTGCCGTCGCGGCTGCCGCTGCGGCGGCCGCTGTGGCCTGCGCCTGTGCCGCGGCCCCCGCGGCCGCCGCCGCGGCGGATGACTTCGGCTTGCGCGTGTCGGCGCCCACGGCGCCGAGGACGAGCGGAAGAAACTGGCGGCTGGAATCGCCGGAAGTCGTCTGGCCACGATGGCGACCATCGGCAGGGTCTTCCACGACGGCGAGGCTGTCCCCGCCTGGGGCGACAGGGCGCGTCGCGCGGCCCCCCGCTGCCCGCGCGCGAGGGCGGGCTGGGCATGCGGGGCCCCGTTGGCTGGGCCCCGCTGGCCTCGCCGCGGATGGTGGCTCGGAAAGCTCGCCGGCTGGCGCCGGGCCGCGCGGGGTCGCGGCCGCGCCTCCATATTTGCGACGATAGGGCCCCGCGTACTTTTGGGACCCCATCGGGCTCCTGGCGGGCGGCGGCGCGGAGGACCTCGCCAGGAACTTTAAGGGTAATAATCGGTGTGTAGCCTGCGCGTCGCTGCCTTATGGCTCAAGGCACGCGCGCCCTATCAGCCCGGATACGTGACTTGGTAT